CGGGGATTCGTGTTTATAACGGAGAAAAACGTCACCAGCTGAGTTGTTCTCCCGAGACACACCAGCTACAACCTGCTGTCGGCACCCCGGGACGACTCCCGGAGCATTCCCGGTGTAGGGGTACGCATTTGTTCCCAGGAAATGGAGGATCCACGTTTCTCCAAGTCCCAGGGTCAAGGTTTGGGGTTTTTTTGAGTCAAATTCTGCTCAGCCCCTCTCCCCCTCGCAGGGTGCAGGCAGCTGTTGGAAACACACGGAGCGGTTCCTGTATCCCGTTCATATTCCCCAGGGAAGTCACACCCGTGTTCGGAGGCTTGAAGCACACCCCGCAGCTGCATTAATTCAATTATGCAGATAATTGAAGCATAAAACCAAATTAAAAATAATAATAAAAAAGCAGATATCCCAAAACAAAAAAGCAGATATCAAAAAACAAACAAAAAACCAAAACAAAACCAAAAACAAAAACAGATACCCAAAAAAAAAAAAAGCAGATAACCAGAGAAGCTTCCCAAACGCTCACCTTCGGACCTTCCTGAAAGTTGTCCTACCACACGGTCCAAGATGCAGGTGAGATTTTAGAGTTTTTCCTCCCCAGTACACTCCAGTCTCTAAACCAGCTGAAGCAGGTAACTGCTGGGGGAGGGAGGAGAGCGACAACTCAGCCGTGGTCCTTCGTGCAAACTGATGCTTTGAGGAGGCACAGGAGTGTCGTGACCTCGAAACCAGCTCTTCTTTGTGAAAGAAAACCCAAGTTCAAGTGCACGCCCTCCTGCAGTCACAGGTAATTTATGCAAACACCATTGAGACACTTCTATGTGCCCATCACCACCTCTACACACTGCCTTTCAGAGGCAAAAGGCAGACACGCAGCATTTTCAACAACAGGATGTGGAAAATTCTGTTTTCCACAGAAATTTGGAAATTTTTCTGTGAAAACAAAGAATTTGGAAATTCTTCAGAACACTTCTCAGCTCATCTAGAAGTATTTGCTTCACTGGGGCAATGCTTGTTGAGATTTTTGTGTAGGCTTGAGCTGTTCAAGGACATCCTCTCTTATACAGCTGACTTCACCTTAGTGCTCCTCCTCTTCCACCACCATTTCATATTCTCCTTTATCAGTGGGAGCTCCCACACCTGGGATATCACCCTCTTCAACACACCAACGTCCCCAAGGACTTTCCCAACACTGGACCAGAACGTAAGATATTAAAAAAAGTAATAATAAATAAATAAAAATAAAAGCCACCAGTTTATTTAGAGAAATCTTTTCTTTAATGGTCAGTCTGGAACGCTGTGATGGAAGCAGCCTTGAACCGCAGAGAACAAAGTGACGGAGCCACAGCCAGGACCAGGAGTTGTCACATAGCGAAGAGGATAAGGAATGCCACCATCAAACAGAAGAGACCCATGGCCTCGGACAGGGCAAAGCCCAGGATGGCATAGGAGAAAAGCTGCTGCTTGAGAGATGGATTCCTGCATGGTGTACAAGTGGGGGGAACAAAACAGAGACAAAACAGGAAAAAAAAAAGGGTCCACAGTCAGAAAAAAACAAACAAACCAGAGTCCTTATCACAGAAAGGCAGGATTATGTCATATCAGCAACAAATTTGGGGGCAAAACCCAGTTTTATGGCGGGCTGGAGTGAGAAAGCCATGGTTTTTCCCTGGTTTTAGCCATGCAGACATGCTGAACTCTGAAGGCTGGTTTTACCTGCCCTGGTGGTACCAAACAACAGCTCTCACTAGGAACTAGTGCTTCACTTCTTCTAGAAGCTGGCAGAGCACCACCGAGCAGCTGCATCGTTCTGAAGTGCAGGGTGGGTTAAAACAATTCATCCACTTATCTATTTTCGCAGAATAACGGAGTACATCGACCGTTTTATACTCCAAAGACAAACGCTTCCGTGAAACACAGTGTCTGCTTATAGACACCACGCTTGTGGAGCTGGACACACATTCCTAGGAAAGCTCCGCCAATCGGGTACATTTAGTGCTGGAAGAAGGGAATAAGTTCAAGCCAGCCTGGCATCTCACTCACCTGGCATAGCCAATGATCAAGCTGCCAAACACCGTCCCGATACCCGCTCCTGACCCGGCCACGCCAACCGTGGCAGCACCGGCACCAATGAACTTCGCAGCAGTGTCGATATCCCTGGAAACAGCACTGGTTTGGAACTCACGGCGGGTCAGCTGTGGGTGGGGAACGCCAGCTGGCTGTGGGGCACGGGAGAAGAAACATGCTAACACCACTTTTAATCATAAATACAGAAGTTTATTAAAACATGATCACCCTTTATCCCCTATTCAAGGCAGAGCAAGATCAGCCAAGCCATCGCTAACCTGGGCTAGGAGCTGTGTCTCCATATTTCCTCTCCAGGAAAGCTGGAGAGGGACTTTTGATATGGGCGTGTAGTGACAGGACAGGGGGCAATGGCTTTCAACTGAAAGAGGGGAGATTTAGATTAGATCTAAGGAAGAAATTCTTCCTTCTGAGGGTGCTGAGGCACTGGCACAGGTTGCCCAGAGAAGGTGTGGCTGCCCCATCCCTGGAAGTGTTCAAGGCCAGGTTGGATGGGGCTTTGGGCAACCTGGTGTAGTGGGGGGTGTCCCTGCCCATGGCAGGGGGGTTGGAACTGGATGATCTTTGAGGTCCCTTCCAACCCAAATCATTCCACAATTCTGTATCAGCCATCCTCTTGATATCCAACACAAACTTACTCCTCCCTCTCAGGAGAAACCACCGAGCACCCCAGGCAGCAAGCACAGACACATGGGACTGAAATTTATCACAAAAGAGTCTCACCTGTACAGTCTGAACCTCAGGCCTGCCGAAAACAGACACTGAAACTGGCCTGGCCAGAGCCCTGGAAGAGCACCGGAACTGGAGGGAAATACAGAGAATTAACTCCTGTAGTTGGACGTGTCCACACTGACGCTCAAAAAGAGCAGCTGTCTTATCAAGAACAGTCTTAGGAATTTCTGAAAAAAGCATGAAACAAGACTAAAAAGCAAAGGCATCTGCAAACATACGATATTTCTATTTCAGCCAGTCGGATCAAGTCCACGAGTAATGCTACCACAGACCACACGCTGCAGCACGAGTGTCACATCTGCTGCAGCCCTTTGGCCATCACGACAACTCCATACGTTTTTTCCTAATTCCTATCTTGAAAGAAAGGGCTGATTGAGTTCTCTCTGTGACAACGTGTTAGCTTTTCTTTGGAGAAGCCCCTGGCCCTGCAGATCACTGCACATCCCCCAAGATGGTAGGCACCATCCCCGCTCAGCAGAGGTCACCTTGTTTCCTCTCCTTGTTAAATCCGCGGTAAAACAAACCCTCACGCTCAGCTGAGGGCAGCCAGGACGGGCGCTTTGAGCCAAGCACAGGGAAAAACGC